TTCTGTATATACTGTATACATGATATAGGCAAGTGAGTATATGTATGTATTTGTGTGTGAATATAGCAGAGACTATCCGCAGATTTAATTCAAGCAGTAACATGTCCTTTAGATCTCAAACACAGATTCTGAGTAATGTGTGCGCATCTAGAAACAGCCTGCAACGCAAACTAAGACTGACACATCGTTCTGTGTGGTGGGTGGAAAACACAAAACACACACACATACATAGAAACACACTGATCTGTGGGCAGGTACCATTCTGACATCAAAATAGTATGCTTTGGCACATTAGTGTGTGTGTGTATGTGTGTGTGTGTCCTGTACGTGCAGTAGGAAGCAAGCATATAAATCTTGATTTCCCATGCTGAGGTTTACGGCCTCCACAGATACAACAATCACTCCTATTGGACAAGTGAATCCATGGCATGAATCACTGAATATAAAAACCGTGACCTAAAACAACTATTCATTTAAATAACTTTTGGTTTATAAACAACATAATGTTTAATTCATAAGAATTGAAAGAAAATGACAATCTCCTACTCTTCAGCTGTACAGAAACATATTTTTTTCTTTTGGGCATTGCTTGCACATTATGAAATAAAATTTCTAACTTAAAACAGAATTTAAAGGTGAAAATGTATTTTTTTTCACAAGCATTGCCCAATAAATTGGCTCTATATTGATTATTTTATTTCAATTTATCAGTATCAATATCTTTGAAAGCCCTTTTCCACCACATAAGAAAAAACATGCTTTGAAAAATCCTAATTATTTTGTATTTTTATGTCATAATTTTGACTTTTTGTGTAATAATTATGACTTAAGTTACTTTAAAGTTCATTATTTACCAAAGCATGATGATAATGTGGTAGAAATAGGCTCTTTTCCTTTATTTTTCCTTTGCAATCATCTAATGTTTTTTTTTTTTTTATTCCCATAATTTTGGTGTATTTGTAGAGCAATAAAAGAAAACACATTTTTGTACCTTAACAATTAGCATATCAATTTTGGCCACTAGTGAAGCAATTTGTTTTTGTCTGTGAAAAAAAAAATCATTCCAGGAGACTGCATTGTATGCATAAATATTTTGTCTTGTTTCACATCACAACAAGATAATAAAAAATGAATGCATAAATAATAAAATAGTTTTGTGATAGTGTAATTTATGTTGTGCGAATGCATTGTGTAACTAGCGAGCTGATGGTGAAATGACTGGACAGCTGTTTTTAACGCTTTTCGCGGTTGCGTTTAAGTTACCAGCTATTGCCTTTCCTCTCCTAGATAACCCTCCTAGGTTGACCTCCAGAATAACACACACATGTTCATACATACAGACACTTGAGCACATGTATGCAAACACAGCTTGTAAGATCATTCTAGCTTACATCATGGTCTGTCTGGCCCAGCCTGAGGTTTATCTGTACATTATGTTTTCTTTCAAGTAAAATTGAATAAGAAACCAGATATTCCCCCTTGCTCAAGATTGAGCAGGACGCATGCATCTCTCTGGGGGATTGTGACTGACTCAAGGGGCTTGTTGTTCTCAGCTGGCGAAGGCATGGGGAGGAGAAGAACAGTGGAGGAAGTAAATTACATAGGGAGGGCTGGAAAAGTCTCTGTTCTTGTCGCATTACTGCGCCCGCCGTCAAGGGCACCGTGGCCACGGTTTGAGTCACTGCGCTCAGAGCTCCTCACGGCCTTCCTTCCCTGAAGCCAATGATCAACTTTCTCTCTGTTTCAATGACTCACTGAGATAGTCAGCAAGCCCTCCCGTATCTTCATCATGTCCCATGACAGCATCACAAACCACAAGAGCATGGAGAAAACGCACATTTCGTTTTAAACTGTTGTGTACGGTGGGACAAAGAATCACTTAAAGGGTTAGTTCACCCAAAAATGAAAATTAAGTCATTAATTACTCACCCCCATGCTGTACCAACCCCGTAAGACCTTCGTTCATCTTCGGAGCACAAATGAAGATATTTTTGATTAAATTTGAGAGCTGTGTAACAACCACATAGGCTCCTAAGGGAATGACACTTGTCGGCCCAGAAAGTCAATGAAGAAAATGTTTAAATATTCCATGTGGCTCAACTATAAGTTTATCAAGCGACGAGAATACTTTTTGTGCGAAAAAACAAACAAAAATAACGACTTTATTCGATTATTCCTTTTCTTCCTTGTTGGCCTGAAACGAGACTTCAATACGATTTCCACGACGCATGTGCGAGAACTGAACTGAAGTAGTTGAAGGAGATCGCAATTCTCGCGCATGCGTCGTGGAAATCGTATTGAAGTCCCGTTCACAGTAACAGGGTCGTCTCATTCAAAACAGCCAGCTGTTGCGAATGTAAGTTACGTGCTAACACTAATAAACACCTCACCTCCGGCGCCGCGCACTCGCTACGTTCCCAGCACATCTAGTGGATGCATAACGTAAACCCAGTCAAACATGTGACTGTAGTATCTTATGTGCCTTATAATCCAATGCGCCGTATATATGAAAAATGTTCTAAAATAGGTCATTCATTGAAGGTGCGCCTTAAGTGCGGTAAATACGGCTATATATATTTACCCACGTTCTGCTTTCTGTCATATATCGAGCTATAATTTTTTGCTCCATATCGCCCAGCCCTAGTAAATATAAAAAACTTTTCTGGTAAGGAAAAAAGTCAATATCAGGAAACAATGTGTAATCACCATCACATCCAGCCGGCTCCCTGTGAGACAGCTCCCATGAGTGGGTCTCGAACTTGTGTCTCTGGTGTGAGAGGCGGACACGCTAACCTCCATTTTATTGGTTGTTGATTGTTTTACATCACTAGGACTACGCTAGGACTTACGATAATATCAAACATGTTTGATATGAAAGGCTGGCATAAATCGGGTCGTCGACTGCAGATTATCACCTCACATTTAAAGATCGAGATGACGGGAGCGCGCCGAGATTCCAGTGAGATTCCTAAAGACTGCCGGTCTTTAGTCTGAGACTGAAAATCCTTTGGTGTAAGCCCAGCATAAGGAACAAATTAATAATTCAAAGTATTGTGCGCACGTCCAAAACCTTCCTTGTTTGATGAAAACGTTGCTTATATTCAAGTTTTATGGGAGCAGATAAAGCATTGCTTTTATTTATTTATTTGATTAAGGAACAAGTTATGATACTTGATGAATGATTACAAATACAAACTTTTAATGGGTAAATTTTTTTGGTTTTGATTGCATGCTAACTTCAGCAACACCTCACCATTCTCTGCAACTCGAGATTAAGCATTAGCACCAGCAGCTGTGCTGGAACATCATTTGCGTTGGCTGAGAATCAGACCCAGGTGTCCTACATAGAGGGAATATCGTACCATGAACTAGCAATGCTTGTCTTGCGAGCCCAAGGCTGTGCATTTCCAAGCAGGTCTTCTTTCAGACCTGACGTACATGAAATAAATGGCCAGAAAGGACTGTAATAATCCAGCAAGCTCAGGAAACCATCTGCCACCTGCTTCAGCGGGCTGTGAGATCTTGAGCTCTTCGCTTAAGGTTGGTGCATGCAGTGTAGTTTTTTTTTTTGCATGCCAGAAATGTTTGTCTTAAATGCAATGTATGTGGCTTTAGAGTTTAGGGGCATCTACCAAATCTCCTGCATTAAAGCCAGTGGAATTTTATGTTGGGACCGTGTGATATACAAGCGACTGACCGCGTTGATTATGATTTGTGGATCGATCTTTTTTCAAAAGTGAACTTGAGGTAGGTTTTATTATGTTAAAGAGAAAACTAATAAGATATTGCAGCATTATGTTTTTTTGAACTTGTATTTTCCTTTCTCTCACGCAGAGTACGTCATCAATTGCTGTTCGAATCATTTATTAATTCGACAACTGTCTTAGGAGCAGCCACGCTGCAGGATTTTGATGCATCATTTCTGACACTGTCAGAACTTCGTTGGAGGCTAAGATTCATCACAAGGGCAAATAATTGTTCGCCAGTGAGCATGTCACGCTGAACTATCAAAGACCTGTGATTAAACGATTCAGAAATTTGTCCCAGATTGTGCACTGAACTTTACAAAGTTACACATGATGTATGAATAATTCTGCGCCCTTGTAAGACTAAACAAAAGGACGCTGGAGCGCTGCTGGTGTCCCTTGTATCCTCTGGTGCTCTTGGAAGGGTTGAAAGTTCATAAAAATTGGAAAGAAATCCAAGGCACCCTGAGTGCCTGGACTTGGATTTCTTTCCAATTCTGGGCCCTTGTTCACCAGTTTCACAGTTTTTGTTGATCTATTCCTTGTTGCCAATGCACATGCTGTGGGGAAGCCAGAGTCATTCTGACTTGCAGAAGCTTTGGATCAAAACTTCTGCAGAACAACCAAATTTAAGGTAAATATTCTAATTTTCATACAGTCATGTTAGCTTTCTATTCCTGGGACACTTGTATCATAGCAAAAGACAACAAATGATCATCAACTTTCATACGAGTTAGCATTTATTTAATGAAATGAGACAATTATGAGCATGCCCGTAGCGTGTTCTCATAATCCTTGCGAGCTATGGAAGTATTACTGTGTTTACTGCACATAAACAAACAATGACATAATTACATAACAATGCCAGGAAGATGCATTGAGGGCGGTTTTGAGAGACAGAGAAAGAGGGAAGCGGAAAAATCCTTTTGCTTGCACTCAGCAGGTGTCCTTTTGGATTAGCGGAAGCTTAGAATGCATCCTGTCATATTTACTTGACCATCATGCAGACGGAGAAACAGACCATCTCTTCCTCATCTTCCCTCTCCTCTCGTGCTTTATCAAACCACCATGTCTTAACCCTCCCGTCGAGTCTTGCAGTTCAACAAGTGGAAAATCAAATCATATTTCAAAAGACTGCACAATAAAACACACTTAAACGACTTTGAGATTTCCTTGGCAGTGGGTTTTCCCAAATACCCCTTCTTTCTCTCTTATTCTCTCTTACTCTCCCACTGGTTCTTCATTTGCAGAAAGCCTCCTCCCACTTGTCCTTTTTGAGTCATACAAAGAAACACAGTAGAAGGGCATTCTCTCTCTCTCCTTTTCTCTCTCAATCCTACTTCCTTCCTCAACGCCTAAACACTTCTCTCCACTCACCTGCTATAGCAGTGAATGCTCTCTCTCTCTTTCTCTCTTTCAACCACAGTCATCTGAGATCCCTGGTTGTTCTCATTCCCCTTCTCATCTCCGTGAGCACCTGACGTTGAGGGAGCTTGTTCCCTCTCACTTCCAGAGGTCAATATTCCTGCTTGCGGCGAGAGCTCCGCGCTGGCGGCCCAGCCCCTTTCCCGCTTCAGCCTGGGACGAAAGACCATTCTGGTGGCTGGCGTGGCCGTCATGCTGCTGTTGGTGCTGGTGATCCTCATACCTGTTTTGGTTCATCTGGCGGGCAGCAGCGAAAACGGAGGTCAGTACGAGATGCTCGGCACTTGCCGAATGGTCTGCGATCCATTCTTGGAAAAATCTGGCACTACGCCTGGTATCGGCACGGGAACGGCTATCACTAATGCGCAACTGGAAGCTGAGGCGCTGACTGATCATAGCATGGGACCCCCGTTGCCCAACTACGCACACGGTCCGCAGGGCAAACCCGGCCGCCAAGGGAAACCAGGGCTACCGGGACCTCCAGGACCCCCGGGGCCACCTGGAGAGCCTGGTCCTCCAGGACCAATGGGGCCACCGGGAAATAAAAACCACACAGAGCGACCGGAGATCGTCGCTCTGGGTGGAAGAACAGCTACTGGAATAGGCACAGCGGTCTATACCATGGGACCCCGCGTGGCCTTCTACGCAGGTCTGAGAAACCCACAGGAGGGCTATGAGGTTCTGAGGTTTGACGACGTAGTTACAAACATTGGGAATAACTACGATGGATCAACTGGGAAATTTGTGTGCAAGGTTCCAGGGACGTACTTCTTCACATACAACGTCCTCATGAGAGGAGGGGACGGAACCAGTATGTGGGCGGATCTGATGAAAAACGGACAGGTAGGGGTTTTTACTGCTAACGCACCTGCACTGAGGTTTATGAAAAGACATATTTTATAATATTCATAATGATATTTTTACCACACTGTGAAAAGGAATAACTGACTGCATCAACACTAATGAAACTCCTTTTTAAGGACCATGTACTAACCCTCAGCCCTTGAAAATCAATTAAAAAACAATTATTTATATATATATATATATATATATATATATATATTATGTTGTACATCCAACACGCGCTGTCCATGAATAATATTTGTCAAGCAGGGAACAAGAAAGTGGTAACATGTTTACCAAGCTTTCGAAATGATGATATTTATTATAGACATTGATATTTTACATAATGTTAGTTACTGAATTTATAACGACTACTGCATGCAAATTCAGCTAACTTTTTTCCCCCCCAAACTATAGGTTTGTTTCGCATTGCAATGTCTGTTTTAATAGAAGAGAGGGTGCATAATTTTCTGGCAGCATATGCACCGCATGAATTACATAACACTGACTAAACACAGACTGCCACAGGGATGTAATTCCTCAAGTTTCTGAATAATCCCACTCCAGTGAGTTTCAATTTGAATAATCATATACCAGAATATCCCGGATGTAACGGGGAGTGCATTTAGGGTTGCTTTCCAGTAAAGGTCAGATTCATGTTTGAGATGAATTTCTGTGTAAAGGAGATATGACCGCACACTCACTTGAAAATACTTTATTTCACCAACGTTTCAGCAACAAGCCTTTGTCGAGGTGATTTGAATGTGAGTGTAAATAGACGATTATTCACAGGTGTGGACAATTAATCTTAGTCGAGCAATTAGCAATTCTAAAGCACCCATTTACAGTCTCACAGAAACAAACAACTTGAGTATCAACTTTCACAGTCAATATTTAAACACTTAGAATATTTATATTACCTAAGACAAAAGTTTCAATCTGATATACATTGACTAAAATCATCACATTCATAAGAAACAGCTTAGATCAAAGTCAACATTTAGTTTGTGTATCCAATAGGCCTTCCGTTTAAAAAGAATTTGATCCAGATCACCTCTCCTTGGTAATAATACCCTCTCAATTCCTATATAACACAGGGATGTAATTGGGTGATTAAACTCAGTACGATGTGAAGCCAGTGGGTAATTCATATTTCTACATCTAATTGTACTTTGATGTTCAGCAATTCGCATTTTTAAGTCACGAATTCACCTTTGGCTAAGCCACGCCTTAGAATGTAGATTGACCAATCACAGCGCAGCCAAGAACGAGCTCCCACAGAGGTCCGACACTTTTCACAGCGCTCCATTGACTTTCAACACAGGAGTCTCATATTTTTGGTCTCGGCAGGCTATTACCGTCGTAGTTTTATCCAAAAATATGGTTAAACGTTGTGCCTCGGGCATTTGTAACACAGATACGCGTTTCCCAGAGAGGTTGGAGGGGGGTGTCCGTTTTTTCCCTTCCCAAAACCGAAGTCAAATCCTGACAAGTGCCGTGTTTGGATTAAACTGTGGATGTCCTCAGTCACCTAAACCCCACAAAGATCAACAAGCACATCTTTTTTTACTTCTAACCTTACTGTGAGTGTGAAGTTATACTAGTTAGACCGTTTTATAATGTTTTAGGTTATGATTTCGGTTCTCATACCGGTTGTTGATACGCTAGCACACGCTGCTAATAAACACGTTATACTCGTGTAGTCCGTTTGCTCTGAAATAATGATTATAGAAGTGAATAGAGACCTACCCAGCTTTGCATGAACAATGTTGCTCCCTGATATTGTTAGTCCCAGCCTCTGTCTCCATTAGGATCTGCGGTGTTTAATTTTTTGACTGTGACCGGTAATGTTATGCTTTTGCCTCTATTTTGGATGCCTCATTGTTCTTGCGTTTCACCTGTATGTCTTGAAAATAGCCTTCGAACGCATATTGCAGCCCCTTTTGCCTACTTCTATCGGACACTTTATTTGCTGCTTTATAAAAGTTTGATAATATTTCAGCAGGAAGAGCGGTCACAGCATAAGCCATGCAGAGCGCAGATGAAGTTTGACAGATGTAGCAACAGTAACTAAGGGGGGCGGTGCTTAGCCAAATTACCTCAGGGACATGTTATGTTTTTGTTTTGCAGCTCATTTATTCCTTTTATATGAATCGATTTAGCAGTATGAGGGTGTTTAAAGGATGTACAACGGTACACTCTTAGAAGAAATGGTTCTATTTAGAACCAGAAATGGTTCCATCCCCCGCTTCATATATGGAACTTCAAAATGGTTCTATATAGAAGCATTTTTTTGGTAAAAGGTTCTATTGGCCATGTACGGAACCCCAGGGTTCTATATAGAACCCAGAGGAACCATTTTTTAAGAGTGTATAGAACCTTTTAGGGGTTCCAAATACGTAGCGCTGATAGAACCTTTTAAGGTTCTGTATAGAACCTTTTCTTCTAAGAGTGTATGTATAGCTACACTAACATGTACCACAGCAATAGATACCTTCTGGAACTGGTGTTATTGAAGTTGTGTTGTGACACGTGGAGGAGACAAGTTTAGGTTTGTTAATTGATTGTCTACACCTGTGAATAATTGTTTATTTATACTCCTCTCCATTATGTAAGAAATCACACTTCAACAAAGACTTGTTGCTGAAACGTTGGTGAAATAAAGTATTTGCAAGTTAGCGTTCGGTCATATCTCCTTTTATACAGATTTGTTTTCTTTGACCTTCCCCTTGGATAGTTTGCTTTAGTGTTTTATTAATGAAATGAATTCCTGTCAATGTAAACTATAAACAAGGAAAGATTTCACTGGACCAAGTGTTCGCCTCTCTTGTCAGAAGAGCTGCTGCATGTGTGTGTACATACTTCACTCGTCTTCTGGCATCCCTCAGTGTGTCATTCTGAATCAGGGCCCTTCTCAAACACCCACGGCCACTCAAAGCACACACATTCAGTATGAGTTGTTCACACACTCAAAATAAATACTCTAAAAATGCCACACACACCAGCCCGGCTTCATGATTTTAGGATGTGTGATATATGTATGTAAAATACTTTTTTATTAAAAGTATTTTTAAATACTTTTTTCAATCATTTGTATATTTTTTTTATTACAAACGGTTCATTGAAAAAAAAAAAGGAAATTTTAGAGGCATGTTACCCTCTTACAGAAAAAAAAAAAACAAGGTATTAACCAAATAATTAAGATGGGACTTAATGGGTAGGACCTGTTCATTTGAAATCCCAAATTGATTAACCACTATCCAATTAATTCTACACATGATTATTTTCAATGTCTATAGTGATTGTAGCTCTAAAACTAATTATGAAATTTGAATTATATGCGCACATATAGGAGTGTTATATGCATTGAACAATCAGAAAAAATACATGCATTTTTATATTTATAGATTTGATATAGAAACAGGCGGAACATGATTTCATTAAGTGCAACAAGTTCATGGATCAACATTCCAATCAACCAATCGGATTTGAGGGACATGTTTACAGTTTATGCCGGACTTACAACCAGGGTCAAGTGCTTCTTCATCAGTGTATTTACCCTCATTATCCTCTGATTTCAGGGATAACTTATAGGTAGGGCTAGGGATATACTTAGGATTAAATTTACAATGCAAGAATGTTATACAAAATATGATGAACCCCTGGAACACGTCTAACTCTGCAAAATCAGGATGTGCAAGAGAGAGAGAAAGCACATTTTTTCATATATACCGTGTACAATTTCAAAATACTGCTGATTTAAATTATTGTTGCTGCTATGAACAAAAACATGAATCACTTGTGTATCTTTGTGACCGACTTAAGTCTTGACTTGCTGTTTTAGCTGCTCATCCTCGCGTTTCCGAAGCCTCTAAGTGACTCACACACAAACACTGTGCACACATGGCTAATCTGAATATATCTTTTAGCTTGTTAGCTTTAGCTGGGCTATGGGCTCCAATTATAATTCTCTTATGCTCGATCAGTCATACACATGGAAACACGCATGACGGATATCAGTTCAAACACAGATACACGCATGTATTAAAACACACCCACGCATGCTGTGTGCTTGAGTCAGCTGTGTTACTCATATGAGAGTGATGGCCCACAGCGACAGCGTTTCACCGTCTGACTGATGTCTTCATATTTGAGCGACTAAGTTCGGTCCCTGTCATTCAAACAAGGGAATGACAAAATCATCCGTCCTCTCAGGCTCTCAAATAATCAATCAAAGCTCTTTTCTTCTAGATTAAATCTACTCAGAGTTGTTCACCCGACCTGAGCAGTGTTTTATTTATAGAGGCTGGAAATAATGAGGAGTGGGGAGAATGTGATGGGAATGTGACAGACTGGGAATCTCCCAGTGAGAAACAGTTGAATGTGTCAGAGTCTCTTTCTAAAGTCTCTTTTAAGGCAAATCAGATCACTCAGTGGCCATCTTGGTAATTGGCGTACAATTCAATTGCAAATGGCAAATCAGCATAATAAAATGTACCAGATTTGTTGAAAGCCTGTATAAAGGAAGAATGCAGTGCATGTTTTGAAAGGCTTGACACCACATTTCCTTTATTGGATTTATGTATTTAAATAAAGTGAGGAACATCACGTGCTTGTTTGCCTCCAGCTTTAGTTCTGATAACATTTTCATCATTCATATTTTTTAAAGCTCTGCTGTAGGAGAAAAGTTAGCTCATTAATTTGAATGTGCCGGAAACAACCGCAGCCGGTAATTTGAGAGTCAGACGATATGCTATCAAATGTGAAGTGATGATTGCATTAACAGGAAAAATCCCATCAGTCTCACCTGAGGAAATGTTATAAAGAAACACTTCATGCAAAACATTTTAATTCTGTTTTTTACTCACCTTCATATCATTCAAAACACATGACTTTCTTGTTTTTTATATATATGGAAATATGTCTCTCCTGTTCACCAATGCTTCATTTATTTGTTTAAAAAATGGTAATATTTTGTGGAAAATTATTTTAATATGAAACATCTGCTTGAATATGTTTTAAAATGTAATTTATTCCTATGATCAAAGCTGAATTTTTAGCATCATTACTCCAGTCTTCAGTGTCACATGATCCTTCAGAAATCACTCTATGATGATTTGATGCTCAAGAAAAAATGTATTATCAATGTTAAAAACCGTTTAATATTCTTGTGGAAACTGTGATATAGTTTTTCGGGATTCTTTGATTAATAGAAAGTTCAAAACAACAGCATTTATTTAAAACAAAAATCTTTTGTAGCATTATAAATGTCTTAACTGTCACTTTTGATCACCACTGTCACCATTATCATTATCTTGTATATATATATATATATATGAAGAGTTCAGATGCAAAAGCCTCTAAGTGACATTTGAAATTTTCTTCTAGAATGATCATTTTTATCAAGCTTGTATATTTAAGTTCAGTATTGTCATTTAAGTGAAATTACTGAACTTGAATATACAAGCTTGATAAAACGCTCTGCTGAAGACGCCGTGCTTTGGGCACTTGAGAGCGTTTTTTTTGTTGAGACGTTTCGTTGCTATGATACAGAATATGCGCAGCACAGTTTACTTGTAACTGATTTCGCAGATAATTTGTTTCATACTAAAAATGAATTTTTCCTCCATTTTGTTCAGTTAGCTCTGCTGGTTGATGTCGTTGTACAGAAAGAATGTTGTGACAGTTTGTCGGTGTGGTATTAGCCCCGCCCCTCCTCCACTGTGATTGGATGGCTGGGTAAAAAGTGACAGTGATGAGCGCTTCGTTTTATCCAAAGTTGAAATTTTTTCAACTCTCGGCGACCAGTAAAAAACGCCGGGCACTCGGCGCTTCAGCGTGAAAAAAAAAAAAAAGTTCAGCGCCTCGTTATGCTCATGCCGTTTAAAAAACGCGCCGCTCCCATTGAAAACAATTGAAAACATACACCAGGCGCGTGGAAAAACGTGTGTATATACTGTATATGTAAATACTATTACATATTCTCTAGACTTACAATTGAAAAGCTGTGTTAAATGATCTCTCTCTCTCTCAGGTGAGAGCCAGTGCGATCGCCCAAGATCAGGATCAGAGTTACGACTACGCCTCAAACACTGCCATCCTACACCTCGACCCCGGGGACGAGATCTTCATCAAGCTGGACGGTGGAAAGGCACACGGCGGGAACAGCAACAAGTACAGCACTTTCGCTGGCTTCATCCTGTACAGTGACTAGAGGTCAGGAGGTCACTGAGTTCAGTCTGACGTTTGTATGGGCGAGAGATATTAGGGGGTCTTAATTGATTGAAGTTGTAAATCTGATATTTATTAACACCTCCAGATTTTATTTTCCATTTTTCCTCTATGGTTCTGTTTGCTGCAGGATATTTTCACCTGAAATTCAACAGCTATTCACGCATAACTGAGTCACAAAACACAACAATGTAATTTGTTTCAAGGCTCAACTGATTCACTATCCACCCTGAAGGAAATTGTAGTAGGCACTGGATCCAATGAGAACACGCTTGAATCTGCACAGAAACCTTCAACAGACACACACGACATCAACCCGAAGGAGAGAGCAGGGCTTCAGGGTTTCAGTCGTAACTGATTGAAAGCCCAATCAAGTGAGTGTTGATATTTCATTACGATGTTGTCTTTACATGTATGATCAATCTGTGAATCTACACTGATGTTTATCAATGTCTCCGACATAATGTGAAGTGAATGATGTTAAATGATTCCCTAAAATCTTACTCATCCTGAGTGTGTGCACCTGGTTTTGTCCGTTGTAAATCATAGTATTTGTGATTGATGTGGAAGTAATAGCACAAATAAAGCTCAGCATTTATTTCAGCTTTTAGCTAAAGCTAAACCCGTTCATTGTTTTTTTTATTTATCAATAAATTATGAGGTATGTGGCTTTCTTAGCTGATATTACCATTAAAAATCTCTTAGCGTAATAAGAGTTACCACTTAATGGATGGGGATCTACATGGTAACTGTAACAGTGATATCTCATTTATAATGACGACCACTATCTAAAACCATGTATTGTATATATGGCATTAATCATGACCTGTACAATATGTCTAAATATCTTCTGTTCTAAATGTAACCGCTAATAGATTTTTGCTTTTGCTAATAAATGGGATTTTTGTAACACTTTTTGGGTCACTTGACTGATTGTATAGTGTGTCTGTCCTGCGGTTTGTTGTCTACACACAGCTGCCTTTATAGGGAGTTTCCTAACTTAAAATGAACCCTAATAAGTGACTGTAATTTAGTTTTTTTTAAATTAGTAATGAACTATTTTAGTTTTTAGTAATATTTTGAATGAACGGTTATTTTATTTTCATTTCTTTCATTTTTAGTTTCATTTTTTAATTCTTTCACTCATTTTTATGTGGTTTTGTCATTTTTATTAGTTTTTGTTTTTAAAATTTCTATTTAGCATTCATGTATTTTTATTTCAGTTTTAATACTTCAACTTAAACCTATTTATTTCTGTTTTCGTTTAAGTTTAAGATTTGCATCTAATATTTATATTTAATTTTATTTTAACTTTGTTTCAATTACCAAAAAAAAAATTATATTGGGTGAAATGTTTTCAAATTCGGTAAAATAGTCTACTTGAATTATATTTTAGCTTTATTTCTTTACCTTTTGATTTTACGTACTATCATATAATAAATAATTTGCCTCAAACTAATTAAAAATATTGCTGCATATCTTATGGAAGCCCTCTGTAATTCTTTACAGAAAACTTTTTTTTTATTTTTTTTTAATTTATTTTTTACCTTATCGGAATGGTACGAAACGTGGTAAAGGTTTTGACACTTGCTGTGAGAACATAAAATAATAATTATGGACATGTATATGAAAAGGTTAAATGGTCCTTAAAAAAATAGACACACTTGTATTGTTCGTGGTCAAAAAATGAGTGCATTGGAAATGAATGGGAAACAAATTTCATCTAGTCGAAACGTTTGGTACTGCGGCCGAACTAAATCGTCCTGAAAGCTCTTTTTTTTTCAGATATCAACCTCAGTTTGATACTCAACCTCGATTTTCTCAGTTTCAGAGTAAAATGTGTTTTGGAATTTATATTTAATGTAAAATTTAATAAATAATAAACTTAAACTGTTTTCACTTCAGCAATAATCTGCCATGTGGCGTCTTTAAAAAGAGACCAAGCTTAAGTCTGTGCCACAAAGCATTCAAGATTTACCACAGTTAAAGTTCACTTAAGTTTACCACAACCATCCAATCAATTCCCCACAGACAAAACCAAGTCTTCCATGTTTTTCTTATTCCAGAAGCTGTTTCAGTCGGGTATACTTCACAATAGGGGGGAAAAAAAGACTATCGCAATGTTTCATGCCGACTTTAAAATGTGCTTTACAAATCGTCATCAATGTTACATACAGTAAACGTGATTTGCTCAATAACAAAGAATATTCACAAATAAAATGTGCATGCATATGCTGTTATTTCTCATGAATGAGTAATTTTTGTGTTATAAAGACTAAATCAGAAAAGAGATAAAGGCAGATTTTAATGTTAAAGAAAAGAGGAGAGATCACAGCTAGGTATAATGAGTGTGAAATGCCACATGTCTGGAGGGGAAGGACTTCCGCCTAATCAGAGATGATCAGAGAGAGAGAAAGAGACAGAGAGAGAGAGAGAGGAAGGCTTGAAGCTGGCATGAGCGCCGGGAGGGAGACGAGAGATGATGAGGACTGGTTATGTAAACAACAAGATGTTTAGATGTGAAGTTTAAATGACATGGTTGATTTTCACTGACCACGGTTTGAGATATCAAGAGGTTCATCAACAACCCATGAGGGGTTTTTTAATTACTTTTTTGAGCTTGTCAAAAATGGACACCATATCTGCTCTTTCATTAATGAGAAACTCTCTCAGTTAAACGATATAATTAACTCCTAATGTCAAAGTAGAATAGCTCACGGCGATCTTCAAGACGCTAAATGGAGAAACAAGCCGGGAACAGCACTAATTATAAAGTCAACTTAAAGTTATTGTAGCAATTCCAAAGAAATCTTGATCATCTTTTATCAAAATAAAATAACTTGCTTCGCCTCAATGTAAAATGTGATTAGTTGATTGCTTTAAAAAAAAAAGTCAAGAAACTCATCGGCCTGGGAAAATGAACTCAACAAGCTTCCCTTCAATATGACTGTTAAAATCAACAAATTGTTAACCTAAAACCACAATATATTTTCTTTTATCCAATTAAATTGGAATTGAAGTCTATGTAACTAAAAAAATATTTTTGGGAGGTTTTGAATGCCATGTTGTGAAGCTTAATGTCAAAGTGAGTGTGTGGATGCTAAAAAGCATTAAGGGACCTTCCAGTAAAATTTATGCAGTCACAATAATTTGTATCTCAAGAGATGGGCGACACCAAGAAACTAGTGTCGGCCTCAGATGACACCGCCCACTGACCGCCAGATGCATATTCTTCACATTAAAAGGCATTGGATAGCTGGCAATGTCATTTTCCATTTATAATAAGGAGTTCTTCTGAGGATAAACTGGTCGCTGGTCATGAGAATTGGTAAGTAGCTGTTTTACATGTAAAAGATAATGTAACCCATACAGCTAAATATTTTGTAGGCTCAAAATATTGTCATTTTTTCAATAACAACCTACTGGATGTAGCCTACATTATCCCACTTATATAGGCAGCTATTGTTATTTAGCTAAGAAGAAAATGAAGAAAACCAGATTTGAGTCTAGACAAATGAACAAGTTCAAACAAGACAGACATTTAATGGATAATGTACAGTCGTGCCATTTATTACACAGCTTTTCATCACATAAATAATGCAAGAATACAAGAAATATTAAATTGAGTAAAAACAGTTCTTATTTTTCATTGCAGCATTTATTATAAATGAGTCATCCATTTATATTATTACTATTTTTTAATTTAGGTAATCTACCCATCAAAATAAGTTCCCCTCCCTCGTGTTTACTGGTGATGAGGGCGGAGCAACCTGTCACTCACACGAGATCCACCAATAGCAAACCACAACCACAAGCCCCGCCCTACATTTGTTCTTGTTCGAGAAGGTGTTTTACTCAGTTATACATCGTTTCTGTTTCATGCCAACTTCAAAATATTACCTGTTTATTATCTTATAATCCATTACAATGTACAAACTACAAAACAATCGTTCTAGCCGTAAGACAAACACTTATTATACGGTAAGGGGTGCCATGTGCGTTGGATGTAGACGAAACGTCTAAAGCATCTCTATGATACCTTGGGATGAGAACGGGTCGTCCAATGCACATGGCACCCTTTAGCGCCAATATAAGACAGTGCCCCCTAGTGGTCTAAACCTAACCCGATCCTAGAACTAATAACCGAACAAAGCTCTGTGCGTGTTATATTGACGATAAAGGGTGCCATGTGCGTTGGATTTAGACGAAATTTCAAAAGCGTCACTATATGACGCCCTAGGATGAGAATGCGTTGGCGTTGGCTGTAGAAGAAATGTCAAAAGAGTCAGTAAATGACGCCTCGGGATGAGAACAGGCTGGTAATACTGAATACCTCCAGTTTAAACACAGTGGATAACAGAAGCGACAGATGGCACCAGCTAATTTTGAATGAAATGAGAGAGAACGTTCATCCATTGCATGATACGAGAGACATGAAAAAAGTGCTGGAAAATACCTGGATGAGTGGTCTTTATCAAAGACTGTATAGAATATCACACGAGGCATCACTTATTGTTTTGAATGGGGAAAAGTGCAACACTCAATATGGCAGAATAAGTCCCGCCTTCTGAATAAGAGCCAATCGCTAATTGGTAAAGTCATCTGCTGTTAGAAGCTCCAGTTCCCATAGAAACAGTCAGATCCATTCTGAAAATTCGTCATGTTTCAAGCGTTTAGAAACAACATTTATGAGACAGTTGTCAGAATTAATTGGTGATTTCAAATGTGAAATTTAATCATAAGCTTGGCGAATAGTTTTGGAGGAGCTGCACTTGCATGACCGAGAGGCTTTTCAAAGATGGCCGCTGAGTGAAATGACTTGCTTTAAAGGGACTTTGGTCTTTATACAGCGTTACCATTGATGACATCATTTTCGGAATTCCATTATTTCGTTATAGGTGGTTTGCAGTCACGTGATTGTGTTGATGCACGGAATGCAGATGGAGGGCAAGGAGTGAAGAGCGCAATGGACGAGATGGAGGAAAATCCGTGTACTTTAGACGCTATTACAAGAGAAATATATAAACAGAAAATCGAAACATATGTTGGATGTGATCCTTACGTTATGAAGAGGACCAATTTTTTAGTGAATTGAGAGATTTGCCTGCCATCAAAGCTGTAGATATTAGCAACTAACTCGTCTTACAGACATACTTTGACTTTACAAAGTTCGGAAACTGGTACGTTACACAAACAGCCACATGAGTGTATTTAAACACCTGAATAATGTAATTATAAGCCACATAAATAATATATTAACTCACATTTGACGAAGTGATCACTGCACACACACACACACACAGGCATTTTCCAACACTAGCTCACGACCAATTTGTACGAATTCGACGCATGATTAAAAAGTGGCTAATTCGTACTAATTCGTACGATTTGTCTAAACCCCACGTGATGGTTAGGTTTAGGGGCGGGGTAAGGGGTAGGTCATTCGTACGAATTCATACGAATTGGCCAATTCGTAAAATATGTACGATTTAGCAAAATCTTATTAATTCGTACGAGTGAGGTCGTTACGAATTAGCCACTTTTTAATCATTCGTCGAATTCGTACGACTTGGTCGTGAGATCGGGTTGGCATTTTCCCATTCGGCTCCTCCCGACCTCAGACGTAGGTTTGCAATGCATTTTTCCCGGTGTTTTTCTGTCAATTTCTTTGACAGAAAATGACAGTATATATTTTCCGCCATTATGAACAACAACTTTGGGCACACGATAAAAACTCCTCGTGGTTTGATCGATTTGAGCAACCATAAACGACGCAAAACATAGGCATTTTGAGTGTGTTATAGTGCTTCCTAAATATAGAAAATCACTTCCTGCCCTCCATCTGCATTTCGCGCCATGGCAACGCAGTGGCGTGACGTCACGCGAAAACAAGCTATTGGGAAATAAGTGACTT